GGTTGGGGCTTCGCTGCCGCGGGGCGGTGGGGCTGGTCCGGGGGTGTGTGCTGGCTCAGGCCAGCCGGAGGGAGAGGCTGCGCAGCCTTGGTGCCTCCCTGCCTCTTCTAAACACCTGCCTGTCTGGTGTTGGAGCACATTAACGCAGTTCTGATGCAGGCTGAAACAGGGACACTTCTTAATTTTTTTTTTTTTAAACCTTATGTGTATGTTTATCCATACCTACCCCAATTTCTTTCTATACAAAACACAGAACAGGAGTTTGTAGGGATTGCAAGATGTTTGTCTAAAAACAGGTTTCAATTTTTATAGTGTACCGTTATTTTAAACCTTTCTCTGCAGAGATGGGTGGTTCTGTATGAGGTGCATGTTTCTGGAGAGCTGTAATATTCTTACCACATTTTCTGTCGTTTTGCAGTTGGCCCGAAGCTTTTCCAGTATTTCATAAAAGTCATTGTGCAGGCAATACAATTACTGTACACAATGCTGAAGATAAATCAGCCATCCTATATTCTTCTTCAGGTATGTTTTGTTGGGACTGATTTTAATAAAATGAATAGTACTACATTACAGGGCATTTTTAGCAGTCTCAGACATTGTTCTAATTATTTGAGAGCTAAAACTGGCCTAATCAATGGTGTAAACCTATATCAAACTATTTTTTTGGCTCTAAACTTTGATTTTTCTGTTAACAACTCACGTTTGTTCTTCCTGTTAATTGTTGAGCTTTCAGACTTCATTGGTGTGGATAGTAGTAAAGAATAAATCTTAACAGAAATGTTTGTGTGTTTATTGGAGGGGAATTTTGATCCTGATTCAGCGGTAAAATATGAAGTGCCTCCCAATCTTCATAGGAGAAGCTGGCAGTTCTAAAGTTGGTGGATACAAAATTGTCTCTATTCATTAAGATGATTGTAATTTCAATCATTTGATTTTATTTTTCTGGTAGTTACTTGGTGTTTGTCACTTGACCACAGTCTTACGCTATTTTTACTTGTTTTATTTATTAAACAGAATCCTCCAGGCTTACCTAGTATAGCTGTTGCCTGGGTAGCGTGTCTTTTCTGGAGAAGCAAACTGATAATTGATTGGCACAACTATGGATATACTATAATGAGTCTGAGTCATGGAAGAAATCACCCGCTAGTACAAATTGCAAAATGGTTTGTACAGTAATTTCTTCTCCATTTTATAAATTGTGTACCTTTGCAGAATTCAGAAGAATGGAAACCAGTGGGGAGAATATAATTAGCGAAGGGCTGTTTCCGTGAAGGATTTCTGGATTTTGCTGTGTTGAACTGCTTCCTATTTCAAAAACCACGTTCTGTAAAACGCCTTTGTTAAACGTGTAAGAAGGCGACTGATGAAGTAGGCAGGGTGCTTTTATGTGCATATGCAAACTTTGATCTTGTTACTAGAATTTCTTCATATGTACTGGGTTTTTTTATTCTCTAATGCTGCTTTACATTCCAATTCATCTGTTTCTTGCTGAATCTAATTGGTTACGTGTAGATAAAGGCTTTAAAGGCTTTTGAGTGTAGTGTTCTTAGGTCTTAGAGGATAAGGGAGTCATGCTGTATCCCTTCTCATAAACTGATACTGCTTCAGTATAAGGAGTCAATTAATAATTGATAATTAAATTTCAGTTACTGAAGGCAGTTGGGTTTCTTCTGGTTTTGTTTGGCTTTTGATTAGCATTGGCACTGGTGGGCAGTAACTATTTGGCTATTGCCTGCCTGTGGTTTCTAACTAAGACGTAATTTTTGTCAGGTATGAAAAGCTTTTTGGGCGTTTGTCTGACTATAACTTGTGTGTCACTAATGCAATGAAAGAAGACCTGTGGGTGAATTGCAACATAAAGTAAGTCACATACTCTAACAAATTAGTATGTGTGTATGTGAAGTAAGATGAAATAACATAGCCCTGATGATTCTGGATTTGGAGGAATCTTACAAAAGCAACTTTCCCGAACCCTTTCATTACCACTGAAACACATTAGTTCAGTTTTGTAATGAGCTAGTGGAGTATGGGCATTCAAGAATCTTCATTACCCTCCATAATTAACACCCCGTTGACTAGAAGGTAGCAGTCCAGGTGTTACAGAATTTTGCTACCAAGCTGCCTCTAGAATTGGAATGAGGCAGACACTGCGTTTATTAACAACTAGTCTGCCCTGCAAATTTTTCTTTTGCAATCAGAGGGCTTTAAGGTCAAAGTTGCTCAGGGATGGTTATGAAGTAAGTTTAAAAATCAGGACAATGATGTCTGCAGTTTTTACGGTTGCATTACACCCCTTGAATATGCACACAAGAATCCCCCTTTGTTACGGGATTAATATGTCCTGCTTGGTGTATTCCAGCAAACTTGAGGAATACAGAAAGTTGTAAGCATCAAAAAGTCATTATTCTGCTGTATTAATTCACTTAATTACTTTCTGCATTACATTGTTGTAGCCTGTCGCTGTACCATATGCATTTTGATACATCTGTGTTTTATTTAACTTGTGAATTTATTTCATTACAGGGCAGTAACACTGTATGACAAGCCAGCTTCTTATTTTAAGGAAACACCATTAGAATTTCAACATCAGTTGTACATGAAACTTGCCAAAGACTATGAGCCTTTTAAACCACGGTATGTGTAAGTAAAGCATGCAGTTACAGCCCTTTACCAAATGACATGAAGTTATTGCACTTGGTTACCAGAAATACTTCTGCATGGGGTCACAAGTTACTGAATATCAGCAAGCAGAGTGGTTTCTGTGTGCTCTTAGCAGCAGATGCTGTGCAGGTTAGGTTAATTGTCACTAGCAGGGGCGAGAATAAGTGAAATCATTGATCTGTGATAATGCAATGCTTGGTGTGTGAAATAATGGAAGTGTTTTATTTTTGAAGAAGGTGGCGTAAGTACTGAGGGAATCTGTAATAGAATATCTCTAGGGTGAAACTCAGCAATTGTTGTCTAGTTCCCACTGAACTAGATGACAGCGACTGGATGCTTCGTCTATAGCATCCCTTCCTTTCACTTACTGTGTAGAGCTTTCTAGATCTCGGTCTAAGTGTTAAATGTTCCTCTCTGGCTGTGTGCCGAACGTCTCCTGTAATAGATTAAACAGGGTGTTACTTTACAAAACTAATGCTTGAAAAAGTGAAAGCCATAGCATATAGCAGTTTCTTTTTGGAAATGCCTACCATAGAATGTATAGGTTCTGGGTTTAATTGTATAAATGTACTGTTGGCCTCCGTGCTCTACTGTATGTTTAAGACAGAGCTGGAAAGAGAGGCTTACTATTTTCTCCACTTGTTAAGAAAAACCCCTTGTCAGAAGATGAAGTCGTGCCTGTAGCGGTAGTGTCAGTAGGCTCTTGGTAGCAATAGGAAAGATGAAAAATGGTCTCCCTTGTGATCAGGTACCTCTCTGCAGCTCAGTACTGTAATGACTGTGTTTTCAGAGAAGTTGAGCAGCAAATCTGAAACAAAGTGTTTGGAAGTCCATGCTGGTTAAGCATAGTATTTCATTCTGTGTTTATTGGCTGTGTTTGTGTAGTCCATACTCAGAAAATTCTGTTTCCATAGTACAGAGTCTGTCTGTTCGAACGCTGAGATGTCTGCCTTTACAGAAATGGATGAAAAAAATGGACATGTGATAAAAACTAGAGGACGGCCAGCTCTTCTAATCAGCAGCACAAGCTGGACAGGTTTGGAAACAAATAGCTTTTTTTTTTAATATTTAACCACTGTTTAACAAAAGATGGCTGTTTATACTTCCCCACACTTGACATGTTATAGAGGCATGTTTACGTCATCAGTGGCAAAGTTAGTCTTTTCCTTTATTTGGCTGGAAGAATTTGAAGACAACTTGTATATAATATACCTCAGTGGCTAAAAATGAATTATTTAAAAGTGAAGTTATACATTAGTTATAGACCTACAGTCTAGAGGCTTAGCTTCAAGATGATTAAAAGAGATTTCCTACTTCTGTTTTTAACTTTCATTCTGGATGCATTATCTTGCATGGTGACATAAAATGGATTAATAAACTAAAATATTTACTCCTTTATTTCTGATAATGTGTACTACATATTTTTCTCACTTTTTTTTCTCTGTATGAAAAAGGGAGCAGAGAGTAGAAACAAATCCATTGCTGATAACCATGGGCAGAATTGTCTATACCTTTGAATTAACAGGGCAATTTCTACATTTCGTCCTCTAGCTTTAGAGAAACTAGAAATTTTTAACTTGATACCTTTGAAGATGTGCAGTATTTGTGGCTTATTTGTCTACCATATTGCCAATAAGGGGAGCAAATAAGACTGTATATGGTTATAGACTTTTATTTATGAAAACAGTTACAGCAGATTTTTAATAGGAAAAGCACGTTGCACACTTAAATCATTGAGGTGAAGGTGAGGAAAATATTGATTGTTGTTATTTAAAGACAGTAATTCATTATAAACGATAGAAATCTGAATGTCACTAATAAAGCTCTCTCTTTCAGAGGATGAAGACTTTTCAGTCCTTTTAAAAGCTTTAGAAGGTAGGTATGAAGGAGTTAATCTCACCTCTTCAAAGGGGAATGGTTGTGTTCTGGACAGTTACGAAGGGCTTCTCCAAAGAACGATGCCTCCATATTCGAGTGAAAATGCAGGTGTATTGGATTAATTAGCAGTGGTTTAAGAGTAGTAGTTGAAATACAGAAGTGCAACATCTGGATTCAATTAGCGTAGTTGTCAGGGGGAATTACATTTCTAACTAGTTTGTAAATTGCAATTTTATTTTCGAAGCTATTACATGTACTCTCCATAGGCATCTGATAATAGGGAAGAATGGAATATGCATTGTCTTATTTTGTAGACTTTTCAGCTGCAGTTTCTAAATTAGTATGTTGAAACAGACAATACAGTGTAGTAGAACAAATGCTTTATGAATAGCGCATTTTAAACAGACCATACTTTATTTCTATAAAAGTTTGACAATTATAATATTGCTAAATTTACTACTATTTTACTAGGTATATGCTTATAAAGAAATTACTTGAAGTAGGAAGCTAAACAATTAATACACCGTGACCATTCTTAAACCAGGCATCTGTATATTTATTGACTCTAAACAGTTTTTTATCTTCTCCAGATTATGAGCGGTATATCAATGAGGGAGTCAAGCTTCCATCTTTAGTATGTGTGATAACAGGTAATAGTTTATTCGCTTTACAATTCTTTCAGTGCTAATACAGAAGACTTAATTTTCACTTTTGTTCTATGCTGAGTCTTCTGTGGATGGTGAAGAGAGAGGAGGGACTGTTGTCTTTACGTCTGGTTATGAGAGTAGTGATTTACAGCCGTGTAATCATGGCACATCTTTAAAGAGGAGAAGCTCTCAGCCTGCCTATCTAGTACAGCTGTGCATTACTCAGTGTTCAAAAGAATTTAAGCTCAACATTGAGATGATGCTGCAAAAGAAACTTAAAATCTGATGTTTGGAGTGTTAAGTAGAAAGGTTTTTATTTAGTGGTGGAAAAGAGAACCTACTCATCAGACAAGGTTTTGCCAAAAAGTTGTGCAGACAGAATGAATGCTGTTTGTTAGCTTTCTCACTAAAAGCAAATTAAAATTTAGTGTGATTTTGAAGGGCCAATTGTGCTGATGAAATTTGTCATTAGTTATTTGGTTATCTTACGGCTGTAGACAAAGTGCATGTCAAGACTGGGGGATATTGATGGCAGGCTTTTCTAAATATTGAGTAAACAACAAGTCTAGGTTCACGTTGCTTTCAAGGGGACTTAGCCTTTTACGTATCCTTTTGGGGATTGTGAGTGGTGTCTTTTTTGATATACCTGATACAACAGGAGTTTGTCAGCTGTACAGTAAGATGCACAGACCACACTATTTTCAGTCATCTTGAATAAAAGAACTATTTTTTTTTTTTTCTGTTTTAAACAGGCAAAGGACCTCTAAAAGACTACTACAACGGACTGATAAATAAACTACGTTTTAAACATATCCAGATCTGTACACCATGGCTTGAAGCTGAGGATTACCCTCTTTTGCTTGGTAAATAGTGGATTATGAAATAGGCTTGAGAATGTGTGGAAAAACAACTTAACAAATTTGCAGAGAGCTGATACAGATTTTGCACGGAAGCTAGCGGAATACAATAAGCGAATGAAGTTGCTGGTTAGTGACGGTATACATGTATACTGTTTGTGGTTTTGACTCATGCCAGCAAAATTGCTAAATTCCTCTAACTACAGTTTTTCACTGTTATCCCGAGATATAGGCGTAGTACCTGCATTGCTATTTTAGCCTGTTCTTCGTACTGTTCATTTCTTCTAACTATGCTGAAATACAGCGTGCCTGTGCATATTCCAGCTTACTTTCAGGGTCACTTCAGTAAATGAAATCATAAAGTTTTTGGCAACCAAAAGTAGCTGAAATTCTAAATTAACATGTCCTTGGAATAGTATTCCCTCAGCATGTTTATTGTATTAGCATAAAGTGTGAGTAAGCTTGATAAAGTAATAAAATACATATTCAACTTGATCTACATTCTGCAGGGGTTAGAACCTGCCAATTTATATGGCTGTAAAACACTGTTTGTCTGGTACTTTTTAACTGCTGAATATAATGTATAAAATCATGCTGTAATTTCTCTATTTTGAAATCACTTGAACTGGAAGAGGTCGCTAGTGAGCCACGCAGCATATCCTGTCTGGTTTGTGATGGAGTTTTCCTGTGCACTTACCCATTCTTAGCAGATAAAGAGGCAGAAAGGCTGTTTTAAGATGTGTGAAATTTTAAAATTCCCTTCAATTTCATATGCACTCGCCTGGTATGTTTCTAAAGCCTGACTAATTTTAGTAACAAAATATATCACGCTTTTTTTTTTCCCCCAAGTGCTTGAAATTGAGTCAGTCTGGATGGTCTTGAAGGTAGCTCATGTTTAGCTTGCATCACCCAAAGTAGTACATAAATAGAAAGGTTTATAGTCAGATTAGAACTGCTGCTTTCAGAGAATTCAGAATCTTGCCTCTTTTGTTTGCTTTTCAGGCTCAGCAGATCTGGGGGTGTGTCTGCATAAATCATCTAGTGGTTTGGATTTACCCATGAAGGTGGTAGATATGTTTGGCTGTTGTTTACCTGTGTGTGCAATATATTTTGAATGGTAAGAGCTTGCTTATTCTGATACAGTTTAAGTGGATCATAGAAAACAGTATTCTTACAAAGCAAGAGTTCAGCAGCTTCTGCATGTATCAAATGAGATTCCAGTACTATGCCATAGTAATTTTTTTTAAATTCAGTAAGATAAATTAGAAATCAAGGTTGTTTTATTTAAGGCCAGTTAAAAAATTTACACTAGTTTTTACAAAGTTGGGAGCATTTAATGCAACCAATTGCCTTAAAAACCTACCCTGTAATCCTTTGTTTCCATATACTTCATGTAAAAAAAGCTTCCTTCTGCATATTCGTGTCTGTTCTGTGAAGGGGTGAGTGTATGCATAGTCAGCCTTACAGTTTACAGTCCTTTGGGGAAACAGTAGCTTTTATAAATAAAGATACATTCTTTGTGAAGGTCTCATGAACTGGATCATGGACAGATTTTCCTTGTAGGTTAATTTTAAAGTAGATTATTGCCCTGATTTTTAATGTGTGTCCAGATGAACGGCACAAAGACAGAGTGAGGGCCCTTTTGTACTGTAATGGTAGGTTTAGATAGTCTGACATAAAAGGGAGAAACAATCTTTAAATTTAAACCTTTAAAACTGCCTTCTTCATTCCATTTTGTCAGGTATGAAGCTCATATGTAGACATCCAGGATCACAATGTTACAGATACCCTAGCATGGTCTCTTTGGCTGTCTCTATGCAACTTTTTAAATGTGTATGTCCCACTCTCTGCTTTTTGTCTCACGTTCTTTTCTATGACTTCTGTTCACAGTTTACATGAACTTGTGAAACACAATGAAAATGGTCTGATATTCAGGGACTCAAACGAACTTTCAGAACAACTAAAGGTAAGGGCTTGACTGATTTTTCTTTCCCCCTAGCTATAACTGCAAAGGTGCTACTGTGTGAGACATCTTTTCATATCTGACAATCATCTGTGTGTTTTGCATTCTCAGAAGATACTGCTTTGCCTGGTGAATGTTATTGCCTCACTTCTATTTGAATATGAATCTGAAGCTGGCAAGAACATTTTAAATACTGTCATTGTTCACTATTTATAGGGCCAGACCAAAGAGCGCTCTCTTACTGCAGCGTTATAGTTGAGGGTTAACATTGGGGAGGCTAGAATGAGTCTAAAATGTAATATGATGGTATCTTTTCTGTGTTTTTCCTTTAACTTACAGATGCTTTTCTTGGGATTTCCTACACTGGAAGGCAAACTTCACAACTTCAGAAAAAACCTTCGTGCATCCAAGCAGCTGCGCTGGGATGAGAGTTGGGACCAGACTGTTCTTCCTTTGTTTGGGCAGAATGAGTGACTTTGTGGGGGAGTCAAAAAAGCCAATACGTTCTTGGAGCTGCGTAGATCTGATAAATAGTGAATAAACATTTGTATTTTCTATAGTTGCAGTTTTTAACTACTTCATCTTGGAACAAGTGTTGGGACACACCTCTTTACAATTTGAGCTTCTCATGTGAGTAAGAATAGTGCTGAAGGTGCAGCCGAGGCTGTTTTGTTGTGTGCTAATAGTGTAAGTCGTGAGGGAAGACGTGGTTCCTGAGCTGAAGAGCTTGAGCCTCGCCATCTGGACTGCTTTTCCTTCCTTATCACTTGGAATGAATCTTTAGAAAGTGGGAGGGAGGTTTCGTTACTGTAGGAACTCGTATGTGCAAAATCTGTTACCTGTGCTGCTTAAAGGTCACTTCTTGGTGAAGATACTTGAATACATATATGAACTATTACCAGTTATACCTATTGTACACTTTAATAGGTGATTTGGGTATGTTTTCTTGCGAATGGGAGATGCCTTTTATTTGAATTGTTTTAGTTAAGCTGAGGATACAGTGGGGTTTTTATTTTTTCAACCTGTTAATATTCTTGGCTAGTCTTCCCTAGACAAGTGCTGAATATCCTCTTGTATGATTTTATTGAGGCAGAACCATTTCGTTTCAAAGTTGTTTTCCTTTTTACAGCATGTGCACGAATGTGAAAGCACGGCCACTGGTATGTGACAGCTTTACTGAACACTTAGAGGAAAATAGACCTTTCAGTGAGTGTTGTCCTTGTACACTGAAGTAAATGTGCCCATTTACATTGAGAAAGTACATAAAATTTATCCCTCTTGGAACAGATGAATAGAAAAGGAAAAACTAAAACCAAAACATATTATTGAAGTATGTATAACTTAATAAAAGGGCACTTCACTTTCTGAGTGCTTACTCAGGTATACCCTTCATCTTTTCAGTCTTAATATTCATATGCAGACCTAATGCTTACAAGATACTTTTTTCATCACCTTTTTGATTATAAACTAGATATTGGTCAATTAAGGAATGAATGTGCTTGGTTTTATCCTGTGGTTACTGCTCTTCAGAGTTCCTAGGTCAGTCGTGGTAGATGATACAGTTCTGCACTAACATTTTTAAACCCGCTTACTTGAGTAATCGTTTCATATCTGCTTTTGTCAAGCTAGATGGCCATTTGCTAATCTTGCCTTTCCCCTTCAGCACCGTGGTTACAGTAGACACTCTCTTGTGAAAAAAGATCATGGAATCATAGTGTAGTTTGGGTTGGAAGGGACCTTTAAAG